GATGACTCTGCATCTCGCAGTTTGCACTCTTCCCTATCCTCATCTTCTCCGGCGTCACCGTCTGAATGAATAATAGCCGTAACAGTAAAAGAAAAAAGCCCTTTATTGTCAAAACTAAACTGCTTGAGTTAATGTATTGGTCTAGCAGTTTTTTTCATTCTTAAATAATATTCTGGCAGGTACCACTGCTCTTAAGTTAAGGCCTCAATGTTTATTGCCAGTCGGGCTATATGATGTCTTTTTGCCTTTTCCCTTCTCCCGGTGAACATAGGCTTATATTCATGAGAAGATGGGCTGTTTTGAATCTACGCATCTCCAAGGGGGAAGATTAAAAAAAAAAGGTCATGGTTCTTTAAGAGGTACTGGCGAAGGGACCACCTTGTTTTGTGTGGTGTACAGGCCTGGCTGCTGAAACCTGTGGCATGAACGGAAAAGGACACGAGTGCCCTTGGTGTACGTGGACTTCGTACGTGGAGCTCCAGCCCCCTTCTGTATTGCGAGATGAATGTTATTGTGAAACACTTGGCTTTAGCACCAGGCAGAACATGTGTCTGCTCGTCTCCAGAAAGAGACAAGGGATCTACTGTCTCTGCGAACCAGCTGTCACGTTGGTAATAAATGATTAGTTTTCTGGTGGTCTGTGTCTTTATGCCGTGTGCTCTCTCCGTGTTCATGCGTAGGTTTTTGCTGCATCCATAAAGTTTCGTCGGTCCATTCACTGTTCCGTGTGCCCTCTGCTTCCGGTGTAGGCTCCATCCTGTTACTGGCCTTCCCAGAGTGTGCGTCGTTCTGATAATGGATGGATGGCGTCTATTAAGAGCGACAGCAAGAGAGGGAATAGGTCAAGCTTTCGGCAATCGAAATAGAAATCTGACAAGCAACAAAAACCCTCCTATTTCATAGCTCATTAGTCCATTCCCACCTGGAATTATTAAACCTTTTCCTGATGGAAATGACGGTAAAAGCACCATTTCAAGATCCTGCACTTTGAAGTGACCGGCCTTCTAGCTTCATCCTGATTTTTTTTTTATTATTTTTTTAAAGCTGTGCTCGCATGCCTTTTGTGCTAAAAATGAAAATGCTCTCTAAAACTTTGTGATGGCTTTGTGTTCCCATGGTCGTGTACTGCATCACCTGCGCCTCGTGAATCTAAAGCTATAACCCTGATCAGCAAGACTGTGGCTACAAGGCTGCCTGTCTCAGGTGTAGTCTCAATTGGCGTAGGTTTACAGTTTTTGCGGTAATAACAGAACAGCTGTCCATTACGAATAATCCTCACTGCAGTGGTAGTCAGTCTGCATGGAAGTATTCATTTACTTTTCTATATTGCCTTTAATTTATCTGGCAGTTTCTGTGAAACAACCAGATTCTACCGCTTCATCCTCTGGAGAGCAGTGACTTGAGTTGTTAATCGTCTGCAACAGCCAGTGGGTATTACTCGTCTGGCTGTGTATGTCTGTCAAGAGTAGCCAGTCTCTTTACAGCCCTTTTTGGGCAAATAATTAGTGTAGGAAAGAACAGCATGGAGACGACTGAGGAAAGAGCAATTCATGGTTTGACTTTTTTTGCTGATCTCAGCCAGTTGTGTAGCTGTGCTGTATTTCACGCAGGTGTTACTCTCTTGAGTTTGACACGGTGGTACAGGTCATCTCAAAATCGGAGAAATGGCAGCCTATTGTACATTATGTTTGTAGATGTTCCTTCTTTTCCTTTTGGCAGTGCTGTATTTGAATATGGGCTTATGGGGAGAGCAGAGCACTTTTTTTGTGGCGCTGCCGTAGGGCAGAAGTCCTCATTTCCTACCGTTGTCCTGGAAGACACGGCAGGTGCATAAGACTTCATCATAATACCCAAGATGTGCGTTAGCAACAGGCATAGCATGCGTCAGGGTTGGGTGTTGATTGGTGTTCGCGTGCCATGCGGAAAAAGTATCAGAATGGATTATAAATTGTTATTATAAGGTCATATGCAGCCTCTGTGAAGGTGCTATGCAAAATACAAATGGTTGGAAATCTGCATAGCTAGTGGCGTCACAGTAGCTTTCAGGCCAGGCCTTCCTCATTACCCTGGTAATATATGTACGTCCTTGTACAACACTGGGAGGAAATTGATCCCAGGCAGGCGGCCTGTTTTGCCATCTCCTCCTAATTGGCGTTTGGGGCGATAGCGGTGACGTGTCCTTTTTCGGAGGTGTTGCTGGCGCGGCCTGTGATGCGCGCTGGCGTCTGTCGTTGTCGCCTTCGTGAAGAGGCCCGCTGGAGGCAGTTAACCTTTCGGCAAGGGGGAAGAACATGAATTATACGGCCCTCTTTGTGGAGCTGCAATGACGGGAAATTGATTCTAATGAAACTCAGTAGACAGAAGCTTTCAGGCGAGATCTGCAGTGAGCCTGGATTTGACAGGGCCGAATCCATTATTGTGGTTGGGGACTTAATTATTTATAGTTCACTGCTGATGAGGCAGAGGAAGACATGGAGATTTGTTCAGATGCTCTGAACTTTTCTGTATAAGCACGTTTTGCAGTTCTGAAGGCTGTGGTACTAAGTCACACTACAGTCGTGGCAGGCTGTAGTGGTTTAGTACAATACAACTGATTCTACAGCTGTCAGACACTGCATTTACAATGCATTGTCTGATTTCTTACTGTGATTGGCTTGGGGACTGTGCCAGATATATTGTACTCCAGAGATGTTTCTGAGACACCTACACACTAGCAGTTATTTACTCGAGTGCGGGGGAAATTATTACATGATGTAATACTTCACCAAAAAGCAATGTGCCATTAAAGCTGCATTATTTTGTTAAGGCTGTAGATGATTTTGACACATATTTATGATTAGATGCTTATATTGTAGTAACGCGTTACATCTTCAATGGCGTTGAAGTGATCTGATCTAGAAGGGGCCTTAATGCATGGAGGCCCAAAAGCCTGTTGCTGTCTTTTCGGGGCTTAGAACATCTTTTTTTTTAAACTGTGAAGTCATTATAACTTGAAATTTTAATGCTGTGGAGAGTTAAGTCCATGAACCACACTTCTAACATGGAATGCAGCAGCTTAATTTCATTTAAGTACAAAAACCTCGTCAGGTGTCAGTGATGCCCTTATTGCGTCTCTAATTTCGCAGGATAGAACTTTGCGTGTGTGTGTGTGTGGGGGGGGGTTTAATTAGTGAAATGTCCAAATATTTTTTTATATATAGATGCATTGACTAAAAAAGAATGAATCCCCCATGAAGGTATCTGGCAGAGTGATTCCGGAGAGTGCCTTCCCCACAGGCAGGGTCCGCTCAGCGCAGAGTTGGGTGTGTGTGTATGTGTGCTTAGCCTTGCTTTCCTGTGATGTATAATTACTCCGGGCGGGTTGGTGTATGGATTGAAGACTTTATTCACTTTCCGTCTCTCGCGCAATCTAATATTGCTTTCAGCAGCTGAGGACGACGCATGAAATCCTCTTGTAGCTCTTGCGTTTCCATGGCTACCGGGAGGAGATCCCTGACCTAATCTGCTATACTTGACATGACTGACTGCTTTTAATTTCTTTCGGCATTGGAAAAATAAAAGTGTCGGCGAGGAGTTGGAATGGTTTCAAAATTTCGTCCTCTACCTTAATTTTTCCTGGGACGAGTTATTCTTAAAGTTGGAAATCACTAGGATCCGTTTTGTTCTCGTTGCAGCCGGGCTGTTTGTTTAGTCGCTTTTGGTCAAGACTTTTTTTTTTTTTTTTTTGCATGTTTAACATCTTTGTTGGCTTATTCATCTCCATGTTTTTTTCCTGTTCGGTTTTTTGGTAGACTTTAGGAGCGCGTTACCTGTGTGGTTCACCTGTGTGGTAAATCCATTTTTGATGTGCTGTACTGCGTAACAGTAGAATAACGGAATCTAAAGCAAAAAGTCTCATGCAGGGACTTTTGGGGAATATTGGCTGAGCACCATGGGTCATCAGCGGAGTACGTTGCTTAACTGCCTGTGGCCTGTTTATCTCTCTCTGTGGCGCACTGCAACAGTTTTTCCAAGTGCCAGCCTGCGAGCCGTTCGTTTATACCCCTGGCTCCGATTTGTTGTTGCCTGGTTTGAGGTCCAGTCCTCTTGGCCTTGAAGGTCACGAGTCTGCTCTGCCTCTCCTTGACCACGAGAAAGCTTTCCTGTTCTGTGCTGACAAATGCAGTCTAGCCTTTCCTTGACAGGGAGCCACTCCCTTCAACTCCGTACTGCATTCTGCACGGCGTAGATTTTGATACCCGATGGTTG